AAATAAATATGTTTTGCGTCTAAAAGCAAAAATTAAACAATAAATAAACAATTCATCAGTGTCTGTCACTGGAAAGCCTACATGTACGCAGTACCTGTCACCCACATTATGTCTGGGTGTCGATCAGACATGACATTTTATATAAATTGAAGTTTGTAAAACAATTTTAGGGCCACCCAACTCCTCCATAATGAGATAAGCAGTACCATAAAAATAGTATGAGATTGAATGATTGAGTGTATATGTATTTTTGTTGCAATTTACTGTTCTTTTTTTTTTATCTCAGCTCACAGTTGTTACAGGGGCATGAATGAACTAACACATTATTTACAAAATATGACAAGCTTTGTTGGTTGTACATGTAGCAGTGTCGTCTGTTGCACTATCTTCTTGTAGTCGCTGTTACTTTTTCGTTTCCAATCCTCCAGTTCAGTTACTAGAATTATACTCCTACAATTCAACCACTAAATATATACTGGTAATTTCTATTTTTCTTCTGATAATTCGGCCACTCAAAAAAATAATTATTTTTCATGGTCGAATTACGATATTCACTTTACAACAGAATTCTATATGCTTATGGTTTTTAACATTAAGTATACAACTGTGTGGGGATTGTGCATTGTAAAATGCTGTTTAATATAGGCTCTTATTGGGAAAGGGTATTATCGCCACACTGTCTAACATGCTGAATACTCTACCAACTTTTAATTATAATTTATGTACATCTTTCATCGTTTAAAATTGATACAGTCACTAAAAAATGGATGGGGGACTACATGTATGTCATTGACAATGACTGGTTTTGTTTTCTTCTGTAGCAAGACTTGATAAAGTAGCAGCTTCCAGATTTATTAAACATGCATTAGCATCCCAAGATGAAGTAGATCCATCAAAACATCAAAGAAAACAAGGTACATGTAATATACACTTGATATTTGAATTCTGATACTGATAGCTAGTGGATGAATGTTGGGATGATAATAAGAACCGAGTTTGTTTGTCGTGAATGGTGGGTTGATGTTGAATTTGACCATTGTTAACAACTCGGTATATCACTAAAACACCTGTTGCTTCATTTTTATAACCCATAGGGCCTGTCAACAATACTACATTTACTGTACCAGATTTTTACAGTGAAGTAATGGAAATGTTAGTGTCTATAAATCTTGAAGATCAATTTGAAAAATTTGTAAAGAATGGTATTAGAGTAAGTATTCACTGAAAGCCTGCCTGATAGGTGCTAACCACCTCTCCCATTTACACACTTGCTTCTATTCTATTTTGACAAACTCTTTGAGATTGACCTCTATTGCAAACTTGTATCCTTGGCCCAAATACCCAAAATTGAAAAATGAAAAAGTAGAAATAATGTTCTGTCAATAGACAGATGCAAATTCACTAAATATTAGACTTTGTTGCACATGGATGCAATTCAGTGATTTGCATATCTGTCACGAAAACAATGGGATTGCTGTTGAACGTGTATCTTCACAAGATGTGTTGTATGGGGCATTCAATTATTGAGAAAAGAATATTGAGATTGACATGGCATACACCAACAGCTCTGGCATCATTTGTTCATTGACAGAATTCATTACTGCAAGCTGATTTGAGTGATTTGAAAACATTGCTGAAAGAATGTGGATTTTTACCTGGTGTAATCCTAGAAATACAGATGTACTTACAGAAAAAAGGTGAGATAAGGTTTTATTCAATCTGCTGCTAATCATCTCTTGCTTACACTGTGACTCCCCTCAATGCTACAATGTAGATCTAATCTGATAACACAACTTTGCCAGTTAGAGGAGGGTCTGTCAGCGAAAAAGTAGAAGTTGGCCTATTAGAGGATTCTGTCAGTGAAAAAGTAGAAATTGGCCAGTTAGAGGGGGTCTGTCAGTGAAAGGGTAGAAGTTGGCCAGTTAGAGGATGGTCTGTCAGCGAAAAAGTAGAAGTTGGCCTATTAGAGGATTTTGTCAGTGAAAAAGTAGAAATTGGCCAGTTAGAGGGTAGAGGGGGTCTGTCTGTGAAAGGGTAGAAGTTGGCCAGTGGGGGAGGGGGGGGGGCTGTCTGTCGGGTAGAAGTTGGCCAGTTGGGGGGGGGGGCTCAGTCGATTCACCACAAATGTCACTGATAGCTGTGCTCCATGACTTACGGTAAGAAATATGATTGAATTGAATGTTGCCTCTTGTGCATTGACAAATTTATTGAGAGTACTAGTGGCATGGCTACACAGCCTATACAACTTGAAGACTACTGGCTCTTACTTAATAATCACTGAACAGTACTAGTACTTAATGATCTTGCTTTTTTTAGGTTTCATAGTAAACCAGGAACGAGATTCCCAGTGCTATGCCAGCTGTTAAAGAAGATAGTGGTCTGGTGCAGCAGTGTGGCATATGCGACATTGCAAAAACATTTTGTAATTTGTAAATATCTATAATGGTTGATATCATAAGCAAACTTGGTCGGGATCTCTTTGACGAGTCTGGCACTATTCAATTACAAGCCTGGAAACTAAGAGAGGGTTTTCTAGGGGTAATCCACACTGTGCTTCTATGAATACACATGGGATAGTTCTGTAATGGGTATGGTGGAAGAGTTATGCATGCTCTATAGCTATCTGCCCCCAGCAGCAGATTTTTTTTTTATTTTTTGCCTCACACAAAAGATCTTGTGCCTAGGGCCTAGGGGCTTTATATATAAGGTCTTATCAACAGATAGTGTTTTACTCTAAACTACTAAAACACCACCCTAATGTGCTTATTGACTGGCCAATCTGTTTAGTACTAGGCACACACATAAACCTTCACCTCTGGCTGATGTTAGAGCAAAATAACAGCCTTGTCATTTTCTGATCACGGCACTCTATAAGGAAGACAAGGCTTTAACATTACTAGTTTTATAGAACCAAAGATATCAGGGGTGGTACTGATTAGCCAATGCGTTAAACATATTATTATCCCAGCTTATAAGTTACATGCAGAAACATGCTTTTCTAACCACTTTATGCACCAGGTCAGGGCACTGGCTAACTCAGGTGCTTCAATCACATTTTCAATGCAGGATTCTGGCAGACATCTTAATCATCTATTAGACATGTCATCTATTAGACAGACATGTCCCAGGAGGCAGGAGACCTCTGGTCTGTGAGAGAGACATAGCACATAAAATCTGAAAAGTCTAAGTTTTGGGTTCAGGGCCAATAAGCTTGGGGGTCCATTCGTGAGGACGGCATATCATGTACAGAAACCTCATGGTTTCAGTTCCTACTTTCACTTTGTATTAAATTCTCCAGCTGGGGCATGTGTGATGGGCATAGTTCCACCAAGAAATCTTTTCTCAAATTTTAAGTGAAATTACTGACATTTGTATTGCATTCATAAAGTCCTCAGTTTTGTAGAAAGTGAATTTCATCAGAATTTGGCCAAATGAAATGGTCATAACTGTTCAACCATGTAAAACCGATTTGTGAGGCATACTATATTTACCGGTACACAGTAGAGCTAGCTTCCCCCATCAGAGCATTATAAAATCACCAACCTGTACATAGTGTTTGTTAAGCAATCCATTTAAAATCCAATAAAACAAACATTATGTAACTACAAACATGTCTTCATAAATTAGCTGATTTTCCGTGTTTCAGTCACATCATGATAATAAATTGTTCGAATGAACTCTTGAGTTTTTGATAAAATCTTCAATAACCATATCCATTGTAGTAAAATGTTGTTTCTTTCAGGCTCAAATGTAAAGGAGGAGGAAAATGCACATACAGGACAGGGTGTCAGTGTCAGTAAAGTGAAAACTACAAGCATGGTGGACACATCTGTCAGTCAACAGTCAAGAGCTGCCAAACATCTAGCACCAGGACTGGTCAGAGTAGCTACAAATTTCAAGCCACAATCATCTGTTAAGATCATGGCTAAGCAAGCACCTTTGATGAATCAGCTGAAAGAGCAAAATCATTCTGTACTGACAAAGCAACATAACACAAAGACAAATCAAAATATGCAGGAGCTCCATTTCACAGATCCATCATTCAAACCAAAGACACAGTTGGAGGAACAAAGTACAGAAGAAAATAATGTTTTGATGCCACAATCTCCAAAGGCTGACATGGAGGATAATTCTTTTGTTGATCAATTATCACTCACCAGAATAAATATCAAAAAAGATTTTGCAAATAGTGAACAAATGACATCAAGTAAGGATCTTGTAAGTGGAAAATCATCCCCAATACGAGATAAACCTCGTAAAGAAGTTAATTTACAGAAACAGTCTTGTGTCAGATCAAAGAAAACGCATGCATTACCACAAAACCAAACTACAAAAATAGTTGGGTCAGTATCTCCTGTTGAGCAAACCCATGCTGAACAAGAGGTAGTAGATGAGAACCATTCAAACATAGATGCCCATGCACATACACCAACAGATTCATCAATTTTAACTTCCCCTCAAATATCACCTCACCAGACTGAATCTTGTGTGTCAGATGCTATGAAGGTAAACATTGCTTTCAGACACAATTTCTTCAAGTACGCTGTAAATGCTGATAAAAGTCAAGATGATGCAAGTGGTGATTTGATAAAAGAGGTTTGTGTGGAACCCTTGAATTGTCAGGCTGCGGATGATAACTGTCAAGTAGTTTATGGCAGAGTTAAGGATGTTGAAGATAAAAAAAGAGCTAACCGAAAATATTCTACTAATGAAGATAGGCATCGTACTTGTACTGTTAAAAAGTCTCACAAAACTCAAGGTAGCCCTTCCAAGAACAAGTGTCATCTTTGCTCTAGTACATTTCACACAACAAGACGGTGCCCTGAATTTAAGAAGTATGCACCAAGCTGTAATAGAAAGGGGGTTAAAGAAAAAGAAGAAGAGGAGGAGGAAAATGACATCACTTCTGAAGAGGATATGGAAAAGAAGAATTATTGTTTCAAACCTGATGCAAGTGAAAGCACATCCAGTGGTGATGAAAGGCTGGCAACTGCCAATTTTGGAATGCGAAAATGTTGTGCTGTGTGTGGTGGGTCAGGGCATAATTCCTTTCACTGCCCAACAAAAAAGAGGGATTTCTTCATTTAGGTTACTTCATTGTTGCTTGTTAGTATTTTTGTTTAATTACATTTTTCTTATTAACTAAAATTTCTGTAGAATAGCTTTTGATTCAAGTTGAAAGATTTTTGATGGCATACCCTTGGCATCAAATTATTATGGCATTGTATTAATGTATTTTGCAGATCCAATGGACAGAGTTGATCTTTCACCTTTTACCTTGTTCTTACAGGGGTGAATGGGCCAAACATCACATGACTCTTTAATAAACTCTGAGAACACGAAAAGTAAACAGAATGCTATTCTCCCAAACTGTATTAGTACGGTATGTTTAGTGTTTTGAAAGGTACTTACATTGATACTGATGAGTTGGCTGACAACTTCTGTTATTCCGGGAACATATTAGTCATTGTATGAGCTCAGTTTGCTAATAAGCATAGAGTTTCACAGCAAGTCTCAGAAGTATTGTGGCAGCCAATTTGCAAACTCGCTTGGGAGTTGGCTAACTGCTTGGGTTTTGACTAAACAATTGGCATTCAAATCTCGCTGGCATCGTCTTGTGGCAACGCCCACTCTGGGCAAATCTATATAACATTAGGAGACTGTCGTAATACTTTTATGAGCTAATCCACAGTTGAATGACGATTTCGCTCTCAAATATACCAGGGAAAGTGTTCTATGTGTAACAGGGTCCGTAGCGTTGGGAAAATCCTTTGAAAGTCTTTGGATTTTTTGAGGTCTGGAAAGTCTTTGAGTTGTCTTTAAATTACAGGAAAAATCAAAAAAATCTTTGAAAAGTCTTTAAATTTCTTCAGTTATTACCGTACCGGTATGGTGATTCAATTTAGAAAGGCTTGTTTTCTCTGCATAAGAGTCTTTTTTTTGTAAAGTGTTTTCTACCCCAGTTCCAACAAATGTCTGCAGTGATTGCTATCCTCGCACCCAAATTAAGGGTCAAAATGTCTTGGGGGGGGGGGGTGCAATAAAGTTTGGGAAAAGGTCTGGAAAAGTCTTGGAAATCATTTGGCTCTTGGTGCTATGGATCCTGTGTAATGAGGTACCAGGGGCGTTCAGTAAGTAATGCCCCTGCCCCATTTCCCATAGCAGGAGATTAATGAAACTTGGCACAGTTATTAGTCTTTCTCTACATAGAAACCACCCAGAGTTGTGCAATTCTCCCATCATTTGATGCAGCTCACAATCACGTCGTAACTTCAGAAATCAAGGCTGCATCATCTGGGAAACGCTTTCCTTTCAAAAACAACTTCATGGCTGGGAAGAGAGGAAAGTCAGAGGGTGCAAGGTCAGGAGAGTAAGGGGGACGGGGGAGGATTTCATAGCCACATGCCCGTGCTTCTGATCTGGCGACATGCAAGTTGTCCTGCCAGAAGAGGATACCTTTGCTGATCTTGCCCCGCCTCTTGATTTTGATAGCTTCTCTAAATTTCATCAAATGTGAAGCGTAATAGGCTTCTGTAATTGTGGTACCCTTTGCCAGGAAATCTGTCGTCACTACTCCGTCCTGGTCCCAGAAGACTGTGAGCATGACCTTGCCAGCGGAGAGCTGCACCCTTGCCTTCTTTGGAGGTGGTGACTCCAAGTGCTTCCACTGCATTGACTGGGCTTTGGTCTCTGGATCATAGTTATGGACCCAAGTTTCATCCTGTGTAATAAGTCTTTTGAAAAACTTTGACTCATCTTCTTGGCACATTTCCAAATTCATCCTCGAGCACTCGACGCATTCTTGCTTCAGGAAAGGTGTGAGCAGCCTGGGAATTCATCTGGCAGACACCTTATGCATATGCAAATGGTCATGAATGATAGTTTCCACAGACCCTGTACTAATCTTGACCTCTTGGGCTATTTGGCGAACAGTAATGCGTCATTCTTTCAAAATGGCTGCCTCAACTTGACGGACAGATGCCTCATCAATGGCAGAAGAGGGACGACCAGGTCTGGGAGCTGTTTCCACAGACTTGCGGGTATGTTTGAATTCACGATGCCAGCGTTTTACAAGGTCTTATAATGGGGCATCATCACTACAAGTTTCTTTCATTTCATCAAAAGTCTCTTTTGGTGTGCGTTCTTTCAAATACAAAAACCGGATCACTGCACGACACTCAACTGGCCCCCATTTCACAGCTTACTTAGTTCAAACGCCTGTAAATCAGAAACCACAATTAGTTCAGAGCTGTTTTTTGCCATATAACCCATAGAGATGTAAATCATTACACATGCAAATCATTACACATGCAAAATTTCATCTAGATCAGACAACTGGAAGGTGGGTCAGGGGCATTACTTATTGAATACCCCTCATATTCGTATACAAGGAATTGACCACATAAAAATGACGAATGAGAGATATAGCTCTGGACAGCATTAATTAAAACAACATGGCCACTGGTCGGCCATTTTGAATACATCTATAACATGGTGTATAATGAATATATAAATATTTGAACATAATCAGTCAAAGCATGTCCGAGATATGGCTCTAGAAGCGCATTCATTAAAGAAAATGGCTACCAGTAAGCGATTTTGAATCCAATCTGAAAAAATAAAGTGATGTGCATCAGGAACCCATAATGTCTAATGTATGTACTAAGTTTGAACCAAATCCATCCATAAATGCCAAGACTCGGTTCTGGAATGCCAGAAATGCTTGATTTTTTAGCACAAAAATGGCCACTATTTGGCCATTTTGGATCAGATAATCAAAACCAATATATCTGTTTATCTCTCTTTCTGAAACAAGTTCAGTTTCAGTGAGAACCTTATCTTCCACGATTTGATAATACATCATTCAAAACATTTTGTAGTTGCCCGTGTTGGGTCGTCCATAGGACCTTTTCCACAAACTAACACATGTGTCCTGGGTGATTCGGTGTGGAACGAAATTGTCTGCACGAGAGTAGACACTGATCCATTGATCGCAATTTTTTGGGCTCAGGGAATCGCAAAAGAAAAACAATTAATTGAACATTTACTTTTACATTTGCTGTAAGTGCACCGTTTAACTCCCATTGTAGCTTCAAGTATCACTGATATTGTTTTGTGATACACAGGGCAATGTGGCTGCTATCATGTTGAATTAAAAGCTTGACAGTTCATGTGACTCAACTGGTTGCTAAGGTGTGTCACGTTTCTTCTAATCAGCCTAGCTGTGGAGTAGCCACTTTACCAACTGAGGTGAGCAGCTTAGGAATTCAACAAGTGATCATGATTGAACATGCACTGTATGAGGTGCACTATACATAAGGGTCGTCACTGGCTTATTGTTTATCTCTCAGTATAGAAAAGTACTTGTTTGACGATCAGATAGAAGATGTCTATCATTTGAATATTAAAAAATCATTTTAATCAAGTATTCTGGATCCATACGTTATTATGGCGTCATATGCGCATGTAATTTCTTTCACACAGTTGTGTTCTTCTGATGTCTGAAAATATTTGTACTTAATCCAATATTGTGTTACTGCATTTTGAATGTTTTCTTCCATCATCCAATGACATTTTCCACAGTTATATCATTTTAACATGATTTGTGGTAACTTTTGTAGTTATGAATTGATAAACGTGTATTGTTTTTGTATAAAACAGTTTTACTATATTCTTGAAACATGTTACTATTATCTGCGGTTTGAACTGTTTTTTTTTTTGTATTTGTATTTACTATTTATATTAATTTAAAAATAATACTTGGTTATTACTTACTATTCTTCTCAGTGCATGTCATTAGAGTTTATTTGTGCCCAATACCAGGGACAGTGGGATATTGCAAGAAGCTGTTAACATATTTGAAGTGTATATCAAGAAAAGAAATGTTATTACCACTTGCATAATACCATGTTTTTGAATGTGCAACTGCATCAAAAATGTAAAACTAATCATAAGTTGAGCACTGGGAGAATGTACTTCAGAATAAGGATACAATAACACAATGAGAATAATTGGAGAATAATTGATAATTTTGACAATTTTGATCTTTTATACCCAAATAGTATTTTTTTTTTATTTTGCTGAGGTGAATGGCAATCATCATAATTTGATATTTTTAGTTTTTCCCATTGTGTACTTCAACAGGCTCACTATAAAATTATTCTACATTTCTACAACAGACATAATAATCCAAGAAGGCCACTGAACCTGATTCCATCAACTATCCCTATCATGTTGCATAAGATGTTAGAAAATTAATTTCAGAGCAATCAGATGAGAAAAATGATTTGTGAAGAATTTATATACCGGTACTATCATACAGGTCTACTTAAATTTTGAACTGAACCGCAATACTTAGTTGACCTTTAACCTCTTCAAATATGGGGCAAGCAATACAACATCAAGCGCCTATATGATTCTGTGGCGTTGGAATCACCATCCATTGACAAATATGGGCATGTAATTTCGTATTGACATGTCTTACATGATTAGGTGTTTTTCAAAGACTTAAGGTCAAGATATGTAAATTTGTTGTGGGCGGAACAGGAATCTTATAGCAAGTATACTGGAGTCTATTTTGAGTAGCAAAGCAGAGAAACGGACTATCGAAGTTATCCCAAGATCAGC